GGAGGCAGCGGCCCAGGGGCGCTTCCAGCTCGTCTCCAACCTCTCGGTCGGGCTCATCTTCTTCCTGGGTTTCACTGTCCTCTACGGCCTCAAGTGACAGCAGGGCTGGGCAGCCACCGGGGCACCCACCCAGCCCCACTGCTGCGGCGGGACGGAGTGTCACCAGTGGGCATGGCGTCTGGCTGGGGGATGTCCCCTGCACCCACGCAGTTGGCAGGCACCGTGCGCGGGGTCTGCTCCTCAGGCTGTGACATTTCCCCTCTGTCGGTGTGACCTTCAGAGATGGCGCGCAACCGGCAGGCTCCGTGTGTGGGCTCTGCTCTGTGGGCTGTGACCTGACCCCTCGGCCGGTGTGACCTTTAGACACGGAGTGCAACTGGCAGGCACAGTACGTGGCTGTGATGTGACCTCCACACAAGTGCGACCTGCAGACAGCGTGTGACCACTGGATACCACGTGTGGGCTCTGCTCCGCAGGCTGCGATGTGCCCCCGCTGCCAGCGTGACCTTGCAGATGTGGTGTAGGGGCTCAACAGGCTGCGATGTGCCCCCTCTGCTGATACGACCTGCAGACACAGTGCCTGACAGGTAAATGCAGTTCATGGACTCTTGCTTTGTGGACTGTGACGTGTCCCCTCCATTGGCACTGCTGTTTGACCTTGGTGGGAACCACGTGCCTGTTTAAGCTGCAGCAGAGATTAAATGGCTGTCAGTGGTGTTTGTGTGCCGTGTGTGTTCGTGGGGCGTGCTCTCACCGGTGCTGGCTCTCTGGTTTTTGGTTAATCCGAGACCTGCAACCTCTGTGCTGTCACATCTGTTGTTACTACATCTTTGGGAATTTTAGGAGCGTTCATCTTCAAACTGCATCATTGCCCTTGTCTGTTCCTGTTCAGGGCTTGCCTCGCTGTGTGGCGAGTACAGAAGTCTTTCCTTCAGCAGCCTGGAAGAATGAAGCCTGGGCCCGTGGCGGCTCATGTCCTGGTCAGCATACAACATCGCCTGGAGGTACTGCCCAAAACATTTCTGTGTTCAGAACAGCCTGCCCTGTCTAGGGCTTGCCCGGAACTTTGCACAAGACAATCCCACACAGGCCTTCGTGGCTGGGAGTGGTACACTTCTGACACTGAGTGGCATTACTTGTGTCTAAGCATCATTTGCACATAAAAGTATTTGCCTATTTAAGTATTGAAGTGCTTTAAGAACTAAAGATTGTGTCTCTCAGAGCTTCTGACTTTCCTTGGGTGAAGATTTTACCTGTGCTATGCTGGTACTACACGGAGTGAGTGAAGCTTCATGGTATTGAACTCCGTGCCAAAGACTTCATCTGCATTACTTCGCACTGGATTTGCTGGGCCTGGCTGGCAGCAGTCTGCGCAGGAGCCAAGCCCTCACCCCTCACTGCAGTGACCCTGGGTTATGTTTTCTCTCAACACAAAAACGTTAAAAGCAAATGCCCCGTGTTTTCCAGCTGCAGAGTTCTGTGATACTGAACTGAGCCTGAGGCGGTAGCGTGGCAGGGAGTGTTAATGTCTACTGGTACTGGGTATATGCTGTACAGGAGAGCTTTCTGCCTTTTCTGGAAAGCATTGTACCACTTCCAGCTGCAGACTCCGGAGACTGCTGCGTGTTTGGAGCAAATTCAGCCCAGGGGCAGAGAGAGAGCTTTCCAGGATCCTCTCTGGCTGTCAGTCCATCCGTCTGTGTGGGATTATAGTGCTGAAATGTCAGCATGTGAAGAGCAGGAGCCTGGCGTTCAAGGGCATTGGTTACAGAGTGAAAACCTCTGGAGTTGCGGCTCTGTGTCACATGCTGATGCATTTTCGTGCTATAAACCAAGTCACTTGAAAGACCAGAGGTGGCTTCTTTGGCAGAGTTTGGCAGGAAACGTTCTCTTCCAGGCTGGAAAAGCTAGGGATGTCCATGGGAAGCAGTGGGTACTAGGGAGCACCTCTCTAGTTCCTGGTGTCGTGGCTTGCAGGTTTTAAGACAGCCCTGCCCAACACGAGGTGTCCTCTGGATTGATCTTTCTTAAATCTGTGTAGTGCTGAGGCCTGGGGCTGTGGGCTGTTCCCGCGGGCAGGCTCTGTACGCAGCCCTGAGCCAGCTTCCTGGCAGAGAGAGGGTCTGGTGCAGTGCAGTGTGGAGCAGGAAGAACAGGCTAGCTGGTGTGCTGCCTGCATTGCTTTGCCCCCTAACACCGGGACAGGGAAGAGCTGCTCCAGTAAGCCGGCTGGGCTGACTCTCCTGCTCTGTGTCTGGTGCTTGTGTCTGAAATTGGGGGGGTGAAGTACGCAGGCACCAAAACCGAGCTAATCCACATGCATTTCAATGGGTGGTTTGGGCAGTTTATATTACTGGTTCTTCCTCTTCTTGCTCAGGTCTCCATGATGTAGCTTGAACATAAAAGATATCCAGCCATAAACTGGTGATGAAATTACATCTTTCTTTTGGTGGGCTTGGGTGGTAAATATTCCTTGTACTTGCTGGAAAATGGAGGGTAGGGGACAGGCTGGTGTTTCACATAGTGACTGCAGCAGGTTGCGGAAGAGGGTGGGGAGGGGGGTCCTGTTTCCCTGAGGCCGTGCTGGGAAGGGTGGACATGCTGCCTGCAGTCAGTGGGGAGTGGGTAGGATGGCCTCCCTGGGCCACCGTGGACTTCATTCCTGCCTGCTGGACACCTATTCTGTTCTGCCTCTGACATACGGGGGTTGGTGTGCACTTGTGATGTACCCTCTGTGCATGCACATGCTGCAGGCAGCGTTTAGTTTTGCTGCTGAATTTGGTCAGAGGAGGGGAAGCATGGCATGCAGTGTATGGAGGGATGCTTTGGGGCATCCAGTCGGTCACTTTTGGGTAGTACAATCTGTACTTCTCCCCAGCGTCACCTTCACTCTGGCCGGGCCTGAATGCTCCTCTGCTCCAGGAAGGATTTCAGGAGCTCGGGCACAAAGTGGCTGGGGCTAATCCAAATGCACAGAGACTGCCAGCTCCCAGCACACCAGGTTTCTACCCCTTTTCTTGCGTCAATACTGTTGTCACGTTCTTGTCTCTCCCCAGTTGTCTCCCTGATGGAGAGGTGCCAGGAGCAACTGGATTTCTTGTGGCTTTCCTTTGGCCAGGTGAGTGCATTCCTTGAGGGGTGCCTGCGGCACAATTGTTAGGGGAAATACAGCGGGGCCTAACCGTGACAGCAGTGCTGTGAAGGTCCAGGATCAGAAGGTCAAAGTGGAAAAGGAAAGGAAACAGGGCACAAGTGGGCCTGATTGGATGTGTGAGGCTTGCTGCACAGGGACCTACTTTGTATTTAAACCCCATGTTCTACCTCTCCTGTGGCAGTGGCTGAGCAGTACTGTTGTCGAGAGGTGACTATTCAGTGCTCCCATCAGTGGGATGCTGAGCAATCAGAGAGGGTTACAGAGCTGTCTTGAGACAGGGAGAAGTGCCAGGCACATCAGTGAGAGCCACGAGGAGTTTGCTTTCCCTCACACTTGCTGTGAGGGGGATAGGCTTGTGCGCTGGCAGCTGGATCTGAGCCATGGAGCAGAGGGTGAAACTCTGCAACTGCCTGTGGCCTTGGCTGTCTTCACACCTCAGGGACAACAAGGACGGATCCTTGGGGGTACTGAGCCACAGAGGGTCATTTCTGCGAGACAGAGCCCATCTTAGGATCATTAAGGTTGGAAAAGAGCTCTAAGGTCATTGAGTCCAACCGTCAACCCAACACCCCCATGCCCACTAAACCATGTCCCTCATGCGCCTCATCTACACGTCTTTTAAATACTTCCAGGGATGGCGACTCAACCACTTCCCTGGGCAGCCTGGTCCAATGTTTAACCACTCTTTCAGTAAAGAAATTTTTCCTCATGTCCAATCTAAACCTCCCCTGGCGCAACTTGAGGCCGTTTCCTCTCGTCCTTTCGCCAGTTACTTGGGAGAAGAGACCGACCCCCACCTCGCTACAGCCTCCTG